GATGATAGTAAACAATCAGGTGGTGACTTCAATTGCAGCTGCTGTTCCTGATGTGGTTTCATTGCTTGAGCAAGTTAGTACATCTCCTGGTACTTTCTATGTAGCTATTGATCTGGCCAGTGCCTTTTTCTCAATCCTAATTTCAAAGGAGCTCTGGTAGCATAGTGGCTAAAGCACTTGACTGCTAACCAGAAGGTTGGTGGTTCAAACCCACCAGCCACTCCTCAGAAGGAAGGTTGGGCAATCCTACTTCCGTAGTGATACTGCCTCGGAAACCCAAGGAGGGGTCGCTATGAGTCGGAGCCTACTCGATGGCACATAACAACAACAACAACAACAATTTCAAAGGACCATCAGAAGCAGTTTGCCTTCAGCTGGCAAGGCCAACAATATACTTTCACAGTGTTCCCTCAGGGGTATATCAGCTCCCCAGCACTATGTCATAATTTAGTCCTTAGGGATCTTGAATGCCTTTCCCTTCCACAAGACATGCTGGTCCATTATATTGATGACTTTATGCTGATTTGACCTAATAAGGAGGAACTATTGATGACTCTAGACATCTGCATTCTAGAGGTTGAGAAATTAACCCAACAAAAATTCAGGCACCTTCCACCTCAGTGAAATTTCTAGATATGTTGGAGGCAACATACCCCTCATATGGGTGTGTTGTTGCAGCCTATTTATCAAGTGACTCGGAAAGCTACTAGTTTTGAGTGGGGCCCAGAATAACAGAAGGCTCTGCAACAGATTCAGTCTTCCGTGCAGGCTGCTCTACCACTTGGGCCATATGATCTGGCTGATCCAATGGTGCTTGAAGTTTCTGTAGCAGATAGAGATGCTGTTTCGTCTTTGGCAGGTCCCTATTGGTGAATCACAATGCAGACCCTTGGGATTTTGGAGCAAAGCCCTGCCATCCTCTGCAGATAACTACTCTTCTTTGGATAAACAGCGTTTGGCTAGTTACTGGGATTTAGTAGAGACTAAATGCCTAACCATGGGCCACCAGGTGACCATGAGGCCTGAGCTGCCCCTCATAAACTGGGTGTTGTCTGAGCAACAGAGTCATAAAGTTGGACGTGCACAGCTGCACTCCATCATTAAACGGAAGTGGTATATTAGACTGGGCTTGAGCAGAACCTGAAGGTACAAGTACGTTGCATGAGGAAGTGGCCCAAATGCCTATGGTCTCCACTCCAGTCACATTACCTTCCCTCTCCCAGTCTGCTGCACCTATGGCCACATGAGGAGCTCCTTATGATCATTCAACTGAGGAAGAGATTATATTTGGTAAAGAAGATATGTACAACTGCCAAGTTGACAAGGGGTGGACTGTGATAGTTGGAGCTGTGTGCTAACTTGGCTAGACCACAATTCTGTGTGGTTTAAGTAGTTGTGATGTGGTTATTCCCATGATGGGATCAGATGAATATGTTTTGAGCAGCCAATCTGTTGAAAGGGAGTTTCCCTAGGGTTGTGGCCTGCTTCCAATATATTTATGCACATCCTGGAAAAGAGACACTCTTCCATGGATCAAGATTCTTTTGTGCTGCCTACAGCTGTCTCTGAGTGAACAATCCACAATTTGGCCTGGAGATCTTGGATTCGTCATTGGTTGGAGTCAACAGCCAGTATGTTGTTGTTGTTATGTGCTGTCGAGTCGGCCCCGACTCATAGCGACCCCTCCTTGGGTTTCCGAGGCAGTATCACTACGGAAGTAGGATTGCCCAACCTTCCTTCCGAGGAGTGGCTGGTGGGTTTGAACCACCAGCCTTCTGGTTAGCAGTCAAGTGCCTTAGCCACTATGCTACCAGAGCTCCTAACAGCCAATATACAGCCTGCCAACTTTGAGCTTCTCAGCCCCTGCAGCTGTGAGAGTTGGGAAAAGACTCCAGCTTGACGTTTGATCTAAGAACTTTGGACTTGTCAGATTCTATAAGTGTGTGAGCAATTTTCCTAAGGTAAATTTTTGTTTCTCTCTATATAAGCTTTACTGGTTTTGTTTCTCTAGAGAACCCAATCTAACACAAAAGACCAACAAAAGAGTCAGAAATTCATTCTGTGTTGCAAGAATTGTGCATTCTCCACAAGAGCATCTTCAACACACTTTGGGAATGTCATTTGTCCTTGATTTCATCAGGAAACATTTCCAAAGCATTTTAGGGTCCTTTTATTGTGACTCTTTTATCCTTCAGTCCATAAAAATATGTGGATCTACCATATTTCTCTTAGTTTTCCAGACTAGTTGCTTACGAACCTCACAACTTTACATGGATATGGAACTCAGCAAGCATATAAAAGACCTGAAACACACCATCAACCATCTAACTTTGCTGATATTTATTGAACTCGCCACATAACAAAAGCATACGCAACACAATGCACTGCCATCGAGTTGGATCTGATTCATAGCGACTCCTCCTTTAGTTTGTGAGGCAGTATCACTACATAAGTAGATTGCCTGACCTTCCTTCTGGGGAGTGGCTGGTGGGTCTGAATTGCCAGCCTTCTGGTTAGCAGTCAAATGCCTTAGGTACTACGCCACCAGAGCTCCCAACAACAGCATATGAGACATTATTTCTAAACAAACAAAACAAAACAAATAAACAAACAAAAACCCTACCAAGTCTCCGCAATTGAGTCAATTCTAACACAGAGCGACTCCAATCTGGTTTCCAAGGCTATAAATCTTTTCAGAAGCAGACTGCCTCATTGTTTTTTTTTATGAAGCTGATGGTGGGTTCAAACAACCCACCTTTTGTTAGCAGACAAACTGTCTTAGCCACTAAACACCAGAGGTTTTTATTTCTAAGTTTGCATTAAATAGTCTTCAACATAGACCTTATGCTTGATTTTAATACAAACTAACAAAAGAATTAAATGAATGTATAAATGGCAAAGATAAATTGTGGTATATTCATCCATTTATGAAAATATAGCAACAACAGCAACAAAATAAATTACCACTGTATGAAGCAATGTAGATAAAATATCACAGTATTTCTATGTCTAGATGGAATCAGACACAATCACTTCATACATTACTATTTTCCTTATATGAAGCCCCCAAATGGGTAAATCTTGTCTGTGCCAACAATAACCAAAACACTGTTTACCCTGTGCATGAATGTCAACTGGGAAAATAGCAGGAGGGAATCTTCTTCTGTGCTGGAATATTTCCTTAATTTCTTCTCAGAGGTTATAAGATGTAATAATGGGAGACCTCTAATCTGTGCCTGTGTTTTGGGCACAGAATTCAACCTGTGGATACCTGCCTTTGAGAACCAGAAAATAGCTTTATTTACATAGAGGTAGATAAGAAACTGGGAGCTCTGGTTAGCATAGTGGCTAAGGCACATTGACTGCTAACCAAAAGGTTGGCGGTTCAAACCCACCAGCCATTCCTTGGAAGGAAGGTTGGGCAATCTACTTCCATAGTGATACTGCTTTGGAAACCCAAGGAGGGGTCGCTGTGAGTCGGGTCATAGGGCCTAAGGCACTTGACTGCTAACCAGAAGGCTGACAGTTCAAACCCACCAGCCACTCCTCGGAAGGAAGGTTGGGCAATCTACTTCTGTAGTGATACCGCCTTGGAAACCCAAGGAGGGGTCGCTGTGAGTCGGGTCATAGGGCCTAAGGCACTTGACTGCTAACCAGAAGGCTGACGGTTCAAACCCACCAGCCACTCCTCGGAAGGAAGGTTGGGCAATCTACTTCCGTAGTGATACTGCCTCGGAAACCCAAGGAGGGGTCGCTATGAGTCGGGTCTGACTTGAGGGCAAAACAACAAAACAACAACAACAGATAAGAACCTGGCCCATGAGAGATAAGGGACTTGGCTGCTAGCCAGAAAGTCTGCAGTTAAAACCCTCCAGCTGCTCAACAGAAGGAAGAGGAGGCAATCTGCTTCCCTAATGCTTTACAGCCTTGACACCCAATTGGGGTTTCTATGAGTCAACAGCTACTCCATGTCAGTGTTTGTTTTGTTGTTGTTGTTGTTGTTGTTTGTTTGTTTGTTTGTTTAGTATGATCCATAGGGGTGTTTTTCCAGGACATAGGTCACTAGGTCATTGTGAGGACAAGGCTGGGGCTCTCTGTGCCTGTCCTACAAGCCAAATCTGGTAAGGAACCAATTTGGATTTATTTCTGTCCTGCAACTGCTGGTTTCTGAAAGACAACCTAAAGGAAGTTTCAGTTATTGTGGAAAATTACTGAATGCAAAAACTGTAGGTGCAAAAAAGCCCACTTAAAAGTGTGTATGTCCACTCATTGCTTTGTATGTTTAATATTAGAACACACTATGCGGTTATATATGTATCTATATGAGAGAAAAGTAAAGATTATTTATAGCTGTCATTTTCAAAGGTACTTCAACTTTTACTTTCTGGTCCTGCTAACGACTGGTATCTTTCTGCCTCTCACCGTGGAAAACTCCTATTTGCAGCATCCTCAACCAGTGGAAATACCAGACTAAGTTTGCACAGTCTGTGTCCTGCTCCTAAGGAGAGAGAACTAATATGCAGAAGCCAACAAACCAGGAAACAGAAGTGAAGTTAGAGACTTCAACAATTCTTAAGTGTGGAAAATCTCATAAGAAATTATTTAATTTTTTAAACACTGGTAAAAATTTTTTACACAGCCAAATATTTAATTACCAACTTTCACGGCTTGGTAAAGGGTTTTCTGATTACTGAAATCCACGTTTCAGTTCCTAAACTGACTGAAGAAACCCTAGGCTTTTCTCTAGAGTGGAAGTAAGAATAGTACTGCGAGGTACCACACATAAACTGGAACCACTGAATCCTACGGTCACAAGTTGGAGCACCCATTGTTTCACAACAGGACTCTCTTCTTTGATGCACCCAGCTTCCAGAAGCCGGAAGCGGAAGTGTGGCATCTCGGCTTGTTCGGCAGCTGCATGATTCCTCGTTCTTCCCAGTCCTGAGGCAGATTTTTCTCCATTGCCAGTTGCCCTTTTTCTCTGGCGGGTTCCCCCGCAGGGTCCGGTCCCGGGTCCGAGGCGCTGCCCTCGCTCTCCGGCGCACTCTCGGTCTCGCCGCCTTCCGGACCCTGGGGGCCTCCTGTCGCCGGGACGCTGCCACCGCCGCTTCTCGCCCATCCCTCTGGGCGGCCGCAGCCGGTTTCTGGACGCCGAGCAGCGGGGGCGGACCTGCGTCTCTCGGGGCGGCAACAGGTAATAGTCGCTTTATAATCTTAAGAATGTGGTTGCAGGAGCAGGAGTCTTACGTGATTATGGTTACAAGTAGTAGAATAAGGCAGTGTTTAAATTGCACAAGGTTAATATGGAGCTTTAGGAGCCCTGGTGGTGTAGTGCCTAAGGCACTTGACTGCTCACCAGAAGGCTGGCGGTTCAAATCCACCAGCCGCTCCTCGGAAGGAAGGTTGGACAATCTACTTCTGTAGTGATACCGCCTCGGACACCCAAGGAGGGGTCGCTGTGAGTCGGATCCGACTCCACGGTACATAACAACAAGAAGAACAACAACATGAAGCTTTAGGTTATGAAGTTAGAACACATATTCCTGTCAGAAATTCCAATCTGTTTATACTATTACACCTTCATGGTTCCAAGTATTGTATTAGAGCTTACATTCTGAAACGTTTGCTTTGTGGCAGGCTGTGGTCTACAGTGGGAGCCCTAACTCCATTTTGAATCTTGACATGTGCTCAGAGGCCAGTTGAGTTCTTCCTGAGTTTCAGCATTGTGAGTATGCATTGATAGGTTCCAGGGCAGTCTTGGGAGGAGCATTTACAATTAGCAAGATTGTGACTGAAAGTCCATTATGCTTACCCAAAGAACTAGGGCACTTGCCCTTACTGTGCCCTTTTCTAATTTAAATTAAACTGCCTTGTGTGTGATAGTTGGAGTTGTGTGTCAACTTGGCTGGACCACAATTCTGAGTGTTTTAAGCAGTTGTGATGTGGGTTATTTGCATGATAAGATTGGGTGTATATGTTTTGAGCAGCCAATCCATTGAAAGTGAGTTTCCTTTGGGGTGTGGCTTACTTCCAGTATATTATGGACATCCTGGGAAAAAGACAGACTCTTTGGTGCGTCTGTATCCTATTGTGGTGCCTACAACTGTCTGTGAGCGAACAGTCCACCATTCAGCCTGGAGATCTTGGATTTGTCATCCGTTGGATTCAACAGCCGGTATACTGCCTGCCAACCTTGAGCTCTTCAGCCTCTGCAGCTGCCTGAGTTGGGAAAAGCCTTCTCCAGCTTGATGTTTGATCCAAGATCTTGGGACTTGCCAGCTTCTCTAAGTGTGTGAGCCATTTTCCTAAGATAAATTTCTCTCTCTCTAAGCTTTACTGGTTTTCCATCTCTAGAGAACCTAGCCTAACACATTTGGGATTGTGATATCATTTGGTAGCCACCTTGTGTCTATGACTCAGGCTGCATGGTCATGAATCATACCCAGACCACCACTTAGCCAGGGAGTCAAGGTCCAGAGCCAATCCTGTACCACTTTTTAAACTTTGATTTTGTTGCTTTTCCAATCGTGGTACTTTCCATGCTTCTGTAGTCCTGCCTTCAACAGTGATTAATTGACCTGCCATCAATCATGACTTTGTAGTAATTCTCTTTGTTTTCAATTATAGGAATTAGGCCCATGGCTGTGATTCAGGGGACTCCATTCAGATTTCTGTACTATGTACATGTTGATGGTTTCCCTCATCCTGGATGA